AGGGAGAAGACATCTTATTCCCTAGTTATTATTAGTAAATATAATACCTACAGTTATTAGTGGCTTAAAATACCAGAAACCCCCAAATATTGTCTTAGAAAACATTTTTTTTTTTTTTTACCAAGATCTGACAGCCATTGTGGAAAGTTACATTCGTGAGATTGGATGCTTAACAATGTGAATCTTAATTGTTTAAGTATATTTACCAGTGGCTGTTTGGTGTAACTTAAGATGATTTCAATATTTATTATTTCTAAAAGTGAGTTAAGAAAGCACTCAGATAAAAAATAATAATAAATAAAAATACCTTCAATATTGTAACACTACCTTTGTATAAGTGGTTTTAATACCTTTAACCATCACAAACCAAATAACATTTTCTTGTGGATGTTGAATTTATATCTTTGACATCTTTTCACCAATTTGCAATAAATTATTAATTTCCAAAATCATGTATATCACCTGGATGGGTTAATCCATAATACTCTTTTACTTTCCATTTATTGGCCTTAGCTCTAGAAGACTGAATATTTTGTATCATTATAAATAAACTTTATGATAGTTGAAGTAAAGTTTCTGCCTGTCTTTCAGTTAAATTTAAACTGTTGAAGTACTTCACTTATATTAATTATACCACTCTGCAAACTTAAACGAATATCGAGTAGTTTCTGATTTAATAAAAACATTTTACATTTTCTTCTAAAGTTGAAACCTTATTCATTATTGCAGTTGTTATTGCAATCACATGATCTTTAACTATCATGATTCAATTATTTATCTGGGTAATTATCTGTTATGCTCTTATACGTATGTTTAATATATATTTTTTTTTTTTTAGGCCAAACTGCAGCTGCATATTGCATTTTAGCAATCATCTTCAATAGCGTTTCAGATATTCACAAGGTCTATCCACCTTTGTAATTAACACATTATGTGTTTATTTTATACCATTAATTATAGTATCTGTATTATATTACACATTGTCACTGACACATTTCTGATACAGGGAAAAAAATAGCATGATTGCTTTAGTAATTATAATTTTTCTGTCCATGCACCACATTCCTGGAAGTCCAGAATATAGCAATAATCCTTTGTCGTTTGATTCTATGGAGCCGTTTAACATTTTGATTGGTATAGTTATACCAAAAGAGCAAGGAGTACGATGGTAGATCACATCTGCAACAGAACCATTACAGATTCCTTGTTGTATCAATGTCTCTGTGTTTATGTTTACAGGAGTTCCTTGCTTTGCAGGTATGTACATAATATGTAGAGTTTAAGAAAAGCTGCAAATCGTGCTTTAGTACAAGTGTCCCGTCAGGTTTCTGAAAGATTTTGCTGGTCTTTTTATATTCCATTCTCTTGGCAGGGCATCTGCTCTTAGTAGGTCGGTATTGTTATTATTTATTAATTGCATCAAGGTTTCTTTAGTTAATTGATGTGTTTCTACCAAATTCAAATTCATATGCCACCAAATGTCATTGTAAAGTTCATTGTCACAGAATATTGTTCCAGGATGGTTTTTTCACTCCAGTAGGAAATCTATTTTCCTCTTCTTCTGCTCCTTCCTATTAACCCCTTTTTCTGAGTTGTAGGTAACAATCTGTCTTGTACTGTGAGGTGCTTTGATAGTCTATCAGGTTTTCTCAGTACCATGTTCCATCTTGAAAAACAGCTGTTTTTGACAGTTATCAGCCTTTATTTCTTTTTCCGGTCATCTTCTGTCTGGATAATAGCAATGTCCAGAATTAGCATAGCACTTCTTTTCAGCATAAGAAGGCTGTTTGCGGTAGTCACTCAATGATAAACTATATGGCAAAGTCTTTTCTTGCATCACCTTCATAGGTGCATCCAAAGTCTTACACAAACATCTTTCCCGTCTTTTCCTGTTTTCAGCATGCTTTGCCATCATCGTTGAGTCCATTATTAGGATTTGTAATAGTCCAATCACATGTTTCTCGTGTATAATCGTTTTTTTGGAATGATCTTAATAGGTTCCTTGTGAAATACCAGTGTAGGCAATAATTTCACTGTGAGCTGTGTCTCTCCTTTCGAGATGGTTCTTGGAGGTAGTCCTCACGATCACAGAACTTGTATAGTGTACAGTCCAATTCAGTTCAGGTGCTTCCTGCTTGTTAACATAATCCCAATGCAGTTTTAAAACGACAGCTAGGGTTGATGTTATGATAATGCTGCAGACTGTAAGAAGGAGACACCATAACCAATTTTCTAGCATCCTTTTGCTTCCATCTTTGCATTTCTTTCTTACTGTATAAGATAATTCAGGTTCAGTCTGTTTTCTCCAGAGTCTTTCTTATAATGATGTTAATGATTCATTTTTCATACATTCCATGTTAACTGTGAATGTATCACGTCTGTCTGTTCATCCTTCTCCTTCACATTTGCAGGTTCAGATGTCAGATCATGATTCAGTCTGTCTATGATTCTGGTGGCTTTTCTGTCGTCCTCTGTTTGTTTTATCTTGCCATCTTTAACAGCATCCATTGTGTCAGTCAGTGGTTCTGTGAATGTCCTGTTAATATTTAGCAGGTTGTAAAATATCAAAACTTACTGTTCTCTGTTGGGTCTGATTGTTCTCTGTAGTAAAAGTTCTTGGTATCACCCTCTCCAGGACAAACTGGCCAACAGAAGGAAATAGGTGGTGGTGCAAGGCGAAGTGGGCTGGAAAAAAAAAATTCCCTAAATTTCTCTAATAGAACCAATGGTTCTAAGCTCTCCCTGGTGCAGAAATATATTTGTCAGTGAAAAACATGTAACATTTCATATGGTGTCTCACCATTTGTATCATCAGGTATGTTGTGAATGCTTATCTGTACCATAGGAATAAATAGATACCACTGTGTGGGGCAAGCAACTAGTAACTTGGTTAATAATCATTTAACCTCAGCATTTTCCCAGACCACAACCCCACTTCTTTGGGGGTGGTTGGGGCACTGAAATCCCAAAGTAACCCAAATGTGGTTGCCCAGTTTTAGGTTTCCTTTGCAGTAACTGCAGGACCACCATCCAAATGGATGGTCCTGGGATTATCAAATGCATACTAAGGAAGTGAGACTAGAAAACGTGGCATCAGAGGTTGCACTTCGCACAGGATATATCCAAGTAAACCTGGTACATGCATCAACACATACAAAAACATATTTATAACCATGAGATGTTGGCAAACTTTCAATATATAGTAATTCAAAAAGTATGTTAGATATTAATATTTCAATAAACAGTACATCAGTAATGTGGCAATAAGCAAATGCTTATGATTACTAAACACATGAATTACAGTATTTCCCATATTGTGACCACCAATATTCCTTTTCAGGAGTCAGAAGTACATTACCTCTCTCTATAAGAGCTTGTCCTAGCCATGAAAAAGCTTTTAGGGCAAGTCCATCTTTCCTCTATAGGAAGAACAACCAACATATTACCTTCAATGGTTATTATGTAATTAACCCCTCTAAACGATAGGAGTATTTATGCGGATACCAGGTGGATAAGGTCTGGATATCCTTGCAAGCATAAACTCTGCATCATGACAGAGAGATAGGGTATGCGATGTGATCCAGTGACCACAGAAAAGCGTTGGTAGACACATTGCATCAAAGTGCCTGTTAACGACATGAGGAGAGGGACCATGCTTTGTTATAAGCATGTCCATACACGTATTACAATGCCAGGCTTTCAATTTGTTTCCACAAAGCAAAATGCAGTTGTGGATATAAACTCACGATGTATCGTAAGAAAAACTGTTTGAACACCAGACTGAGATTCGAGATCAGTGAACAGTGGACCAAAATAGATAAATGAAATCTTATCAATTAATATACTTTCAATATACTTTCTTTAAATTACTTTATTCTCTGTATTAACTATGAAATATTAAAGTTAAAACGATAACATTTAAAAGCCAACTTTTAGTGTGGATAGGAATTACAAGGCCGCTCATAATGTGAGATAAAGAACAGCTTTTTAAAACCGAATAGTCTGTGAACACAAAATGACCTTGCGCTGAAATTTCACTTGCAGGGGAAAAACAAAACCTCTTCTTTTTTCTTTTTCTTTAGTAAATTAATTAATTAATTAAACGTAGTTAAAACCTCCCTCAAAGTCCCGATGACTTTGCAAGAAACATGTCGTCCCCAAATACTGAGTAAGTCTATTAAACAGTGACATAGCATTGTTACCATGTGTATTATGTTGTCACAGCTATAATGTGCAGTATTACAAACTATTTATAAGTGTTGTGCAAACTGTTTATTAAAAGCCAGTGGTCTAGCGAGCTATAGAACATTTATTCTTTAAATCTCTGACCTCAATCGGCAAAGCAATATTGTAATGGTGTCTGCTGTCTTACTTGCTGCTCTTAAAAATTCTGAATATGTTCAGAGATTTCTTGGGCAATAATAAATCCCCCAAAACCACAACTTTGCATTTATGCTAAACCTGCCTGCTGTAAACGTATTCTGTATATTTCTTGACATAAGTACTTGTACTTAAATCTGTTTAACAACGCTGTTTATATTGTGGTGTAAAATAAATTTTTTATTATTATTATTTATTTTATTTATTTTTTAACATTGCTTGAATTTTTTTAAAGATACCTGCATATTTAATTAAATATCCTTTATATGTCTTTAAGGCATAAAATATCTGCAAATTAAGATTATATACAAAAATGCATGTTTTGGGTGTTCCGTGATTCCTTTTCTATCATTTAATGATTTATTTAAAAAAATTTAAGTCTGGAATCTGATTCCTTTTGGGATGAGCACCCCTCTGAGCCCCCCAGCTTCAGAGGCTTCTTTGGAGGTGACCACAAAAAAGTATAGATTTTATAAAATAGATGTGAGGGGGCTTTGGACAGTAATGTCACTTTAATTATACTTTTCATATAGCAGATATGTGATATGCAATGTGATTTAATATATCAGAGTATTATCACTTTAATTGACACTACATTTTTTTATGCATTATTCTTTATGCATTCTTCTTCTTTTTTCTTAATTTTTAATGTCTGTTTAGAATATTGCAGGCTTTGCAATATCAAATTAATTTTGCAGTATATATATTCACAATGCTCTTACAACATATTATTAAAATTAGCCTCTTTCAGAATTGTAGAATATGTGGTGGAACTGAATCCTCATATATGAGATTTGAAACTGTATTTTTGATTTCTACGCTGTGCCCTGATCAGTATTTATATGCATAATTGCAGCAGCATATAGCTTTTAAAGAAGCAATTATTTCACCCTTCATGTGTGGTTGACTGTGGACTTTTTAAAACCTACTCTTTATATTTATTTATTTATTTTAATCCGTTTCTGGCTCTGAGAGTGCAGGCTGCTGAATGCATGTAAATGCTGTTATTGCCTAGTCTACATACTTTTATTTATAAACAACATTGATATATTGATATATAAACAACTTTGATATTTAATCTTATTTTATGAAAACCTAGTTTATGAAATTCACTGAGATTACATGTGTCTGATCTGATTACAGTCAGTAGTACAATATAATTGTTCTAATTTCCTTACAGCTAGTACGGTGGGATAGTACCAATGCTTTAAGTAAGCTTTCCCTTTTAAAATTGGTGGACTTTACTGCCATTGCAATAGACTAAAGACTGTACCTAAGTAAGCAAAGTCATTATGTGCAGGAATTGTGCACTTTAAATAGTAGAATACTTATGCTATTCTAGTGAATTGGGCTGGCTGCTTAACACATCATTTAATATCTTTTGGTCACATTTAAAGCTGTAAATGTATTTAACATTTTATTTAAATAAGCCTTTAATAATTTCAGTTTAAAAGTTATCAGAGATCCTGTATAGTTACAATTTTATTTAGCCCTGATCTATCTTACATATATATTATTTTTAATTAATTTTATAAATATTTATTTTTGCAGAGCATTTAGAAAAGCAAAGGATGTATAACCACCTGTTGCCCTTTTTTCTAGAAGGGTAGTATAATTTCAACTCTATTTAGGAAAAAATATGAGCTAGTTAGCATATATTATATAAAATACATGCTGCAGTGTACTGCACTGAATTTATTTAAAAGCCATGTCTTTCTCTCTATGGCTGTATGTAATAATGTTGTTCATAATTTGGAATATAAAACAACGACTTCTCAATTCCTTGGAATGTTTACATGTCTCTGTATCTCTGCAACCTTGGCTGGAAATTCCAGACTGAAAAAATAGTTATGCTGTTCTAATTCCTGATTTTCAATCAACAGCTAGCGTAACTGACAATATGGAAAATATCACTGTTTTCTAAAACCTTTCTTATATAGTGGACATTAGAATCCAGAACGCAGTAATGCAATAATTAAAAATCCTGTCTGTCTGTTGCATGAATGTTTTCATTAAGCCATAATGCATTTTTTCTTTGCATTCTTGGAATTAGACTTCAAATTTCATCGCTCTGTCTTATCACTTTTCTTTTGACAACATTTTGCATTCATCTTTTTCCTGCGCATGCATACTAAACAGCTACAAAGAGAACATATCCCCCTGTCTGCAATCCACTGTCCTGGAACTAATGGGCCATGCTGTGCTGGTGTATTAGGCATATCAGGGAGTTTACCAAATATGTATATTTGTTCTATTATGAAATTAGTTAAGATCCACAATTTCAGCATTGTATGCTAATTATGTTGATTACGTTGTACCTGGCACCTAAACTCACAGTGCCTTGTTCACATTAAAATCATCTCTAATGATCTCTCTCTGAGTCTGGGCTACACATAGCTCAATAGATTCTTGATATTTCAAGACTTGTGCCATGACAAAGTACTGTGTCTTCTCTTACGTATAAGAGGTTACCTAGGTATTTATTTTATATTTAAAGCTTCCAAGTACAAAGTCCCTTCATGGTCGCCAATTGTAACCGTGGCTGGTTCCCTTATTTATCACTATAATGTCTTAAAGCATAGAACTTAGTAGGGCTAACCATACAGATATCTTAGCCATAATTTTATATAGTGTAAGAGATCCTCTATTTAACATATATAAATAATTGAGAATACAATATAAAATAAGGATTGTCTTGGAAGCAAGATTGTCTTTTGGATATTTATTATATAAAAATATAAAATCCATTATAGCAGAGTTTATAAGATTTAAATTACATGCTTGCAAATATCATTAATAGGTTAACATACCCTTCTGAACATGTCATCATGTCAGCCTCTCTGTCATTTTAAGATGGAGCAGCGTCTGTCTCCAAGTCTCTCCTCTGTGTCTTAACATTTAAAAGTACACCTATTTATACCTCAGATGTCTCCATTTTAGGTTACTGTAGTTCAAATATGAAAAAGTAACACTTCTTTTACTTTATTCAATTTAGGACCTCCCTTAATTTGGCAAACATACAAGGCCATAACTAAAGGGTGCATACGTCATGGAAATTTTCCTGACTTAGTTCAAGATGGCATCTTAAAGTCTGAATAGGTTATATGTTGTTTATACTAAGTCGTAAGTGTACAGTCGCGGGAGATTCCCAGATTTGGGGAAGTTCCATTATCTTGGGGTTACCACAGTATATTGTGTACTGCAAGTGTCGTAGTATAGCCTTGAAGCTTGTTTATGCATTATTGTTATTGTAATTCGTCTGGGACAAAATGGCGCAAACATATTATGCACTGAGGTTATTGCTTAAAGAAACAGTTATGAAAAACAATATGTTCCATTTCTTACACCTTGTCAGTTTGCAATATCTCTTAAAGACAAAGTACACAGTTTAAGAAATACAACATTTCATTCTAAAACTTGTAATATTTGCATTTGCCCGTAACACTTCAGTAGTGGGGAAAGTAATGGAAACCATGTTAAAGAATAGGATTGTTGAACATCTAAAATCACATGGATTTCAAGATCAGAGACAACACGGGTTTACTTCAGGGCCAAACTAATCTTATTGATTTTTTTCGATTGGGTAACTAAAATAATAGATCAGGGTTTGCAGTAGACATTGCTTACCTAGATTTCAGTAAGGCTTTTGACACTCTTGCACATAGAAGGCTTATCAATAAACTGCAATCTTTAAGTTTGGATTCCAATATTGTTGAATGGGTAAGGCAGTGGCTGAGTGACAGGCAACTGAGGGTTGTAGTCAATGGAGTATATTCGAAGCACGGGCTTGTCACCAATGGGGTACTTTAGGGATCTGTACTTGAACCCATTCCCTTTAATATTTTTATTAGTGATATTGCAGAAGGTCTTGATGGTATCGGATGTCTTTTTGTTGATGATACTAAGAGATGTAACACGGTTGATGTTCCAGGAGGGATAAGCCAAATGGCAAATGATTTAGGTAAACTAGAAAAGTGGTCAGAGTTGTGGCAACTGACATTTAATGTGGGTAAGTGCAAGACGTAAAAAAAAAAAACATGGGCAGAGTACAGAATATTTGATAGAGTCCTAACCTCAACATCTAAAGAAAGGGATTTAGGGGTAATTATTTCTGACGACTTAAAGGAAGGCAGACAATGTAATAGAGCAGCAAGAAATGCTGGCAGCATACTTGGTTGCATAAGGAGAGGTATTAGCAGTAGAAAGAGGGAAGTGCTCATGCCATTGTACAGAACACTGGTGAGACCTCACTTGGAGTATTGTACACAGTACTGGAGACCGTATCTTCAGAAGGATATTGATACCTTAGAGAGGGTTCAGAGAAGGGCTACTAAACTGGTTCATGAATTACAGGATAAAACTTACAAGGAAAGGTTAAAAGAACTTAACATGTATAGCATGGAGGAAAGACGAGACAAGGGGATATGATAGAAACATTTAAATACATAAAGGGAATCCACACAGTAAAGGAGGAGACTGTATTTAAAAGAAGAAAAACTACCACAACAAGAGGACATAGTCTTAAATTAGAGGAGCAAAGGTTTAAAAATAATATCAGGAAGTATTACTTTACTGAGAGGGTAGTGGATGCATGGAATAGCCGTCCAGCTGAAGTGGTAGAGGTTAACACAGTAAATGAGTTTAAGCATGCGTGGGATAGGCATAAGGCTATCCTAACTATAAGATAAGGCTAGGGACTAATGAAAGTATTTAGAAAATTGGGCAGACTAGATGGGCCGAATGGTTCTTATCTGCCGTCACATTCTATGTTTCTAGGTTTCTATGTTTAAGATCTGTAGTCCATAAAGTCTTGTTTTGAATACCAGTAGGATTGTTATTAGAGAGCTAGGGAAAGTAAAGTTTTAATAATGAGTAGGGGCTACCTATAATATTGAGATACTAGTGTTTCACCATTTTCTTTTTCTACATAATAATCCCTGTTACTAAAGGACTATTCTGACATCTAGTGGCCATCCATGATACTAGATGTTTTCATACTATTTTACTGCTAGATTAGTAGATTGGAATAAATAATTAACTTTAGGATGCATCAATAATGAATCATTCATAACTCATATGCATTTTCATATAGTCAGTGACTGTGAACATATTGATTCATTTAAGATTGTTGTTGTTAGAATAGGGGTTGTAGCCTCAAAAGCAGGGTCACGTAAAGGAACACTCCACTGATCTCTAGATCTTAGATCTTATGAAATGCAGCCTGGCCTGAGGTTTGAGGCAGGTAGAGTGTGCCGTCCACCCCTGGTAGCAAAGGGGAGCTGTTGGCTGTAAACTTCCCTGGCTGTTTGACTGACAGCTGGGGGATGTTCCATAGTTAATTTCTAAAAGTGCAGATTTCACATATAAATCTGCACTTTTATAAACTGGGATATTCCTCACCTATAAAGCACTTAAGCAATCTTTTGGGGAGTGGAGTGGTCCTTTAAAGGGGCACTATCATTTTGCAGATTTTATCCTATACTATTATGTTTACTTATCCCTGTATTTAACAAATATACACTTTGAAGGTGTAAAAAATAAAATTAAGTCTAGAACTCCACAACTCTACACCTTGCATCTGGGCACCTTCATCTTAAAAAGGGACACTATAGTCACTAAAACAAACTTAGCTTAATGAAGCAGAGTTGGTGAATAGATCATTCCCCTGCAGTCTCACTGCTCAATTCACTGCCATTTAGGAGTTAATATGGAGCCCTAGTCACTCTCCCCTGCATGTGATCTACACAGTTTGCCTAAACACTTCCTGTAAAGAGTCATCTACTGTTTACACTTCCTATGTTGCAAATTCTGTTTAATTAAAAAAATCTATATATATATATATATCTTTCTCTGTTAA